GTTACCCTAGAAATGAAACGGATTGAAAAATTAACACAAATTATGTTCGAAACATTTGATATACCAGGCATATTATAATGGAAATTTTGAAAAGCAAGCTGGCCATTTTGTATTTTCTTTTTTCAGCCATGTATGTTGACGCATGCTCCAGAATATTATGGTATTTTTAAATTATTAAGTCAACTGAGTGAACGTAGTGAACTTGTCGGCTTATTGCTTTTCTTCAGAGTCCGCATGTTCTTCTTTCTTTCTCTATACCTCGAGCGCATTTTTTCCGCCCGGCGATCTCGCTAATTTCAAGTCACAGAAAACTGAGACAAAAAAGAGAATATAAAACGCACACTGAATACGACACATCCGGGGTTGTTTTTGCGTTACACTTTTTAGTTTTCTCAGGTATATGTCTTAAACCGGGTCACTCAACAGTTGGAATTTGAAAACATTCCACGATCGAAATAATTAACACGTGCTTAACTACAGTGTGGAGGAGAAGAAGAGAATGTTATACATAGAGATAGAGAACGCTTGCAGTCAATAGCATGAGTGCAGTAGAGACTTATTAAGATTCTTATTGTCTTCTTAATATTTACAATTTCGTTTCTGTCTTAATTGCTTCTCACAAGCGTTCACTCAGTTGGCTTCCAAACTTCGCAGAGCGCAGTCGGCATCTAGTTATGTTACTTTTCGCTTATTTTTCTAGGTAAATGATTGTATAAATAATTGTTCACCTAGAATATTCTGCTATCCTCAATAGGTGCCATAAAGCATTGTGTTACTTTAAATGCATCATGTTCTCGAAGATTACATTGCGAATGAATTATCTCTGTATCACACGGTTAATATACGAGTACCATTATGAGATCGATTGGAACAAAATTATTTTTTGACTTCATCAAAACTCAATTTCAAATACATTGTTGAGAAAGTGTGTGAAAAATTATTTATTGAAAAACAAGCGATGTAAGCAAGACAATAGCGTCAAAATAGAATACATTTACACCAACATATCATACTTTATTTATCATAGGGAGTTTCCAGATTGTGATGTTGGGATATTGGATAAAAGTTTTAATGAAGATAATTAACGAACATTTGAAATGTTAGATGAAATACAATCCTATTGGAAAATTTTTACACAGGACGGATCTGCTTTTACAGAGATCTCCTAGGAAATCTATTTCAGAAAGCTCTTCTAAAAAGTCATTTTGCTCGTGAAAGCATGCCCCTAAGTCTCCTCTTTCGCAAAGCGAAAACTGAAGCTCTGAAACTATTCCAAGATTTACCCATGGTACAACTCATGGATAATATTGATGAAGCATTGGCTGCCCCATGTAAAAAACCGTAAATTTTATCGCGTATTGGCCTTGTTTCATGATCTATCGAACACAAAGGCATTTCAATATCCAATTAAAGAGAAGTGATCGGCATGGGCTACTCAATTTCAAAAAACATTTTGAAAAATATTTGCTACTCTTTATCTTCACTCTAATCACAAGGAGTTCCTTGAAATAGACGATAGTCACGATGTAAACGCATATAACCTACAAGGTGTCGAAAAATTAAACGATATGATAACCGTAGACTTTTATCGTTGTACAATAAAGAAGAACAATACCATAGAGCAAATGTTTTGTCGTCGGTATCGGTTACTCTATTTACACGTGGAAAAAAATGATAGTTTAAACTCTTTGTTAAGAAATATCCATACTACACCATCTAACGTTGATTTCATACTGTGTGAGGATGATGTCTGAATGGTTCCTATAGTTGCCAATATCTTTTGAAAATTTTAAATTTTTCTTTCTTAAACTTCTAAATTTCCAATAATATCGCCCAGAAAGAAAGACAGATTAGATAAAAATCTGGCCATATAACAAGGGTGTATAAATTAGGACCAAAAGGAACCACTATTATTTTCCCCAGATTTGGTATAGATAATAGAACAGTTGAAATATAAAGAATAATTGTTTAACTTACAATATTTTTTTCTGAAGGTGACACATTAGAAAACATAATGTGGACACTAAAATCTTCTCGACTCTTCATGAACTTGACTTCTCAACTACACTAAAGATAATAACAAACAAGAAAACAAGATGTACAACCTTGAAATTTATAGTATAAAGATTTGATCTAAACATAGTTTATTTGATTCAACAAAGCGGGTGGACCCATTACATGTTGGGAACAGTCGAGAAGAAAAGTTGGTTATCGCATATACATACTAAAAACATACGCTCACATACAATAAAAACTTACACTCACACAGAATCGTAGATGGAGAGAAATAGAGAAGAAAAAATAAAAATAAAAATAAAAATAAAAATAGAGACAGCGAAATAGAGAGAGTGTATAGAGTAGAATAGAACAATAAAACGAACATAAATTTTATCTTACATAGGATAAGAGAAATATGAAATGGATACAAGTTGAAAACAAGAAGGTGTGTACACAGTTTGATACATTGAGAACACTAAGTAATAGTAAAAAGTATAAAGATTTTAGTCTATGATGAATCCAGAAATGACTAAAAATGTCATCTCTGGAAAAAAAGTGATTGTATTAGTCAACGTATATTTATGATATTTCAGAGAGAAAAATATACCCAGACACTTATTGTCCATAACGAACCAGAAGATCGATGAAGACCATGATCATACCTCGCTCTGGTAAATGAGGAGAAAACGTCTAGTTAGGATTAGAATATGACTTGTTTCTGAAAGCCATCCAGGTCTAAGATAACTTATTATTATGATTAAAATATTCTTTTAGTTAACTAAAAGGAAGGTATATCCACATAACTTCACACTAGAGATCTGCACGGGCACGAGAATTCCCATGGACTACCCGCGGGCATGGACGGGCACGGGCAAGCTCAAAAAAGACACGAACGGGCATGGATGGGCAACTGCTTCCCTTCGACGGGCACGGACTTCTCAAAAAGATATTTTAAATTTTTTGAGCAACAAAATGGTACGAAGATTTGAATTTTTTGTGAATGAAATATAGACACTTAGAGACATGCTACAGAAGCGACAACATAATATACACGCGTGGGCGAGAAATTTTTTTTCATATACGAAAAAAATTCACGAACCGGCACGGACAAGCATCCTTAGTAGGGTTACTGGCATGAGCAAAAAAACTTACCCATGCAGATCTCTGCTTCACATTTTTGTATAAACTTAGTAATCTTGATTGCAAAATCATAGAATTCTCTTTCTTCACACAACATATGCTATAATTAATCCTTAAGGCTTATGTGACAAGATGGCGTTAATGCGCGTACGTTTTCATAGTACTAGTGTAGCCTATCAGTGTCTTTCTTTCCTTAACTTTTAGACAACCAGCAAGATCTGAGCAAAGAAAATCAACGGTTGTACTAAGTTCGACAGCCTCTTTCGAATGAGACTTCTCTCAACCGTCAATTCGCTTGCAAAAAATTCAAGCCAAATCTGTTTCGACTCCATATGAATGCGCCGGAAAGGCTGTTGTTATCCCAAATGTGAGTATCTTTGGTGTAAGCCTGCTTTAGACCTCTTTTCCTAGATGGTTGGTGAGATATAAGCATTTCATTTCTTTACCGTAAAATGCTAATAACTTCTGATCCAAGATAGGTAAACACTTTTTACTTTTTACCAAAATTTAGTCGTGATTCTCCTCTATCTACGATATGAATTTGAAGAGATAGCTGTTAAACTATTTTACCATCGAGATCCCTGAAAATGAGCCCCTGAGATATGAGGCCCTTTTCAAAAAACTACTAAGTTCGACAGCCTCTTTCGAATGAGACTTCTCTCAACTGTCAATTCGCTTGCAAAAAATTCAAGCCAAATCTGTTTCGACTCCATATGAATGCGCCGGAAAGGTTGTTGTTATCCCAAATGTGAGTATCTTTGATGTAAGCCTGCTTTAGACCTCTTTTCCTAGATGATTGGTGAGATATAAGCATTTCATTTCTTTACCGTAAAATGCTAATAACTTCTGATCCAAGATAGGTAAACACTTTTTACTTTTTACCAAAATTTAGTCGTGATTCTCCTCTATCTACGATATGAATTTGAAGAGATAGCTGTTAAACTATTTTACCATCGAGATCCGTGAGATATGAGGCCCTTTTCAAAAAAACTCACAACTCATTCTAGGAAGATCATTTTGACTTCAAATTGCACCAAATACACTGTGCAGTATCTATAGACTCTTCAGTCAAAGTACAAGACAAGATCTACAAGAGTCTGTATAAATATCGTTGGCGTTCCTCGATTATTAGGCAAAAAAAGTAAAATCAACATTTTTCATACAGATGACTTTTAGTATATATTCAGCGATTCTAAGTGAAGCTAGTTTTCGCCCAAATTCTAGATTTCTACATTTGTTGATAAAACATGAACCTAATCTGGAAACTATTTGCCTTGATGCTTTAAATAGTTGTTTCATGCAGTCAGTACAGTTGTTAAATGGTCTGGTATGTGCGACAGAACTTCACTAGCCTTCTGAAATTGTTCTAATTTTAAGAAAAATTTTTTGTAAGAGAAGTTACTCATTCTTTCTGTGAAATAAATGCTGAAGGTATTTTGTTTCTATAACTCTATCATTATTACGACGTAAAATAGTCAACGTTAACCAGTTGCTGGTGCAGATTCATCATCAAAAAAGGTTTTTATGAATTACCTCGATTACTTATTTATTATTAAACTAATTTGAAACTACACAAAAACAATACTGGAATTATTATAACATAAAATAGAAATGACATATGCGTAAGCAAACATGTCTTCTTCTTCAATATAATATGGCAAAAAAATTTTTAAAATGACAGCGAAAACATAGAAAAATAGAAAGAAAAACTTTATTGACAGGAATATGATTATGGTTATTTGTACAAATATTCACTGACAAATTATCAACATAAAAAAAGACAAATCATAATTGCTCTAGAGATACTTGAATATAGAGATGAGAAAGAAGTTGAAAGTACAAAAAAAGTAAGAAACTCAACTCTATGCAATAATATTGAAACTACTTGTTTTATCCTTTAGTAGACGATCTGTTTCATTGTCTATTTGCTGTTCTTCATCGTCATTCATAATACATTCATCATTTATTTGTCCTTGTCGTTTTTGCAATGACATTGATAAATAAGCTATACGTGCCAATATTTTTAAATGTTCGCATTCCGCCGGACTAGTTTGTTTGACTAAATCCGTTAAATATGATAAAGGATTGTCTAACAGAGTATAAGGCGAATCATATTCAATTAATTCACCATTACTCAGCACCTAATTAAAGCATTATAATCTTTCATACTGATTGTATTTATCGACTTGTTCAAAATCAAGAACGTTGGTTTAGTAAAATGAAAATTTTTTTTCTTCTCTTAGTTCTTAATCTCCATAACTTAGCTGTTTTATTCAATAAAAATTCGATTTTCGATCGTTAAAGAGTAGAGATTTAACTCCCTGAAGAAGCTCGTTGGAAGAAAAACGTCATAGATTTCAAACCTGAAGGATGAAATCGACTGATAAGGTTAGTGAACCATGCGAGAACGAGGCTGCTCGAAAAGGGATCAGAAACTAGGTGTACTCAAAGTTATTTCATAAATACATTGAAAAAATCATCCAAAAAAAGTATGTCTTTCGATCACGTGCTGTGAATCTCGAGGAACCATGACTAGATGGAATGGATCAAGGGCTTATTCGATTTCGTTAGACATTTCTTTTATACTATTCTGTATCCAACAAATCTAAATTTAAACTGCACCTATTTAAGTTTGCGAATGGAAACTATATTATTAAAGAACTAAACGAACAATTACGATACAATGTACTAGACTTACTCATACAGCCACTCCTTATAAGAAGCTGTAGCCCCAGTTTTCGCTGTTTAGACTCGGTGACTCAAAAGGAAAAAGAAATGTGGTCCTAATCTACATACCATAATTTGATCATTATCAATCACTGTACGCAATCTAAATAGAAATTAACACCGTTAGAACAACAAACAGAAGGAAATTGGAATGTTTTTCCTCTGACCTATGGGCTATAGTTAACACTGTGCAATCTTTAAATTTTTCTCTAATTGATCTTTGAATTAATTCGTCCGTCCTTAAAAGAAAGAAAAACAAATTTTAATCTACAACTTAAAAAATAGATTATGAGAAAAAGTTAGTTACAACAATAATAATAATAATAATAAACTTACGCATTATCAACATTAGCTGTTGCTTCATCTATGACGAGAATTTTACTCTTCTTCAATATTGCACGTGCTAACGCGCTGTCCGAATATTGCGTAAACAATGAAAGGGGTAGGAGAAGTCCGTAAATGATTCCTTTTGTTTACATAGAGGATGGGATTAGCCAAAGATTACGTAATCATTTGTTTTTTCTGTATAGCTTAATGTATTTTTGTTGTTAGATCGCGTCATAACTCATAACTGGAAATTCTTTACTGAGGATGGAATTAAATTTTGAATGGAACCCTTGTACAAAGTCACAGCCCATAACAGCTGCCAGAATAGCTGGTAACTTCACAATTGTGCAGAGGCTACTCGCTGCAGGTTTAAAAAAATGTGCAGAATGACATGAATACAGAGCTGAAACTACACATGGGCGAGACCAGGACTAAAAGGGATGTTGACCGGGATCGGAACTGGAATCAATGATTTTTTTTTTGACAAATTCCTCCTGAAATCTTCGGCATTAAAGGAGTGTCTTTTTAGTATTTTACGAGGAAAATTTTTTTCGGAACCAGGACGGGGTCAAAAAAGTTTTCCGAGATCGAGACTGGAAAACCTTGACCCCGACCATATCCAGCTGAAACATACCATATAAAATTAGTTTTGAGAACGAATGTAAGAGAAAAAAGTTCCAGTAAATTAACTATAGTAATTATCCAGAGAAAATTTAGTTGATTGAAGTTTTGTAAGGGATCTGCCTTCAAGAATTCGACAAGAATATTTTTTCTGTTTTTCTCAAATTTCAAAGTTATTTTGGAGAGTAGCTCAGAGTAAGGATAACTATATAGTCACCAGTTACTTGGTACTAGTACAATAGTTGTAGTTACTTTTGCAACTAGTACCTTTTTCGCTGATTTCATTCCTTGGTAACTAAATGTAACAGTAATTGTGGCATCTTTAAAACAAATTTCAATATCATTTTGTAAAAATAGGGTTCCGAGAGTATTTTTGGAAAGACAGTCGAGTTCACCAGAAATTGAAGTGGCAATAAAGTGGTTTCTTTGCGTGAGTATAGCTCGAAGTATCCTTATTGAAATAGGACTCATGCGACATCTTCGTTTTCAGTGGTACGGATGTGGTATCGAATTTATCTGAAGGTCCAGGACTGATACTTGGTGAATTAACGTAACTCTGAAATCGCATGAGATGTACCTAACCGACCATGTTGAGTCTAGTGATAATGTTTGTTTTTTGACAACAAATTCAAAAACCGTAGCCTCAGATTCAGTCGACCAACGTTAGCCACATAATGGTACGAAATGATTACGTAATCAATATGCGAGGGAAAAGGGAGGAGATGTCGAATGATTACGTTTGATTACTAGAAGAATGAAGAAGGTTAAAATCTTAAAAAGATGATTAACTAATATTCGACCAGCCCCTAAACAAACCAACTGTTTTTGACCGACAGATAGATTTGAGCCAGATTCATTGATAGATGATTCTAACCCATTGGTCATACTGCTAACGACTAATTTCTTCAGTTGTACCTGAAAGAGCAGAAGCATACGAAATTATTAATACTCATAACAAAAAACAAGAAAAAAGGGTCCGCTAATGACCCACCTCCTCAAGAGATTTCCAAATTTCAGCATCACTGTAATCACCAAATGGATCAAGATTATATCTCATTGATCCTGTGAAAAGAACAGGATCTTGTGGTATAATCGATATACGTTTTCTTAAATCATTTAATCCTAATTTAAATATATTTATATGATCAATCAATATTTCACCATGAACCTCGGCCATACGGAAAATGGTTTGTATAAAACTGGATTTTCCAGCCCCTGTTCTTCCAACGATGCCTACTTTTTCACCAGTATAAACAGTTAAACTTAAATTTTTTAGCACATATGGACTATCTGCTGAATAACGAAATGATACGTTTTTGAAATCAATACGACCACACGATGGCCAATTTGGTTCTGGTTTATTTTCAGGAATTTCCGCTGGTGGTTCTTGATCCAAGTGACAATATTCTAAAATTCTTTCAACAGCTGTCATATTTGTTTCAATTTCTACACTCTGTCTGACCATCCATTGAAATAGACCCATTAAATGTAGTGAATAACTTAGTGTAAGAGCTATATCGGCAGCTGTAAAATGTTTACTAAGTACCATGGCTAGTATCGTAACTGTAGTAATAAATCCTAATGTAACCCAGTCAAAACGTATAGCTGCCCAACGGACAGCAGTCACAATTAAGTAATTTGCTCGTGTATTCATATTTAAATGTTCGAGAAATTCGCTCGAGCATAGTTGTTCGGCATGATACGAACGGATGACTTTCAAGCCCTGAATTGTTGACGTGATATGGGAATAAATTGGACTACGAGCTAAAAATACGAAATATGTTCTAAACTGATATTTTCTGGTTATTTTTATAAGTTTTCTTACTGGTCCCTTCAAGGCGTTTTAGATCTCGTAAGCATGTTACGTATAATGACCTGACAACTAACGTTCCAAAAAAAACAAAAACGGCTGGAATAAAAGCATAGGCATTAATTATACCCACTAAAACACATATTCCAAGAACTTGAAATAAACACTGAAAAGAAAAATACAAATGGAAATCACATAGTAAGAACAATGTAGAGTATTCGCCGATATAGACTCTCTCTGTCTCCAGATCCTTAGTAAGAATACAGTTCTGCGGGATCACCCCAAAGCTACCTCTTTCCCACTTTTTTGCCTTCGCATCATCTTTATATTTCACTTTTTTCAATACAAATAAGTCCTTTTGATTAATTATAATTTCTTTGAACCCCTTAACTATTTTAAATAAGAACTGATTTTATTTTTATTAGGCTCTACATGACACCACAGTATTTGCTTTAACAAAAAAAATTTATCAACGCCAAAAAAGCATGTTCGTCTCTGGTTAGGATCGTATAGTTTAAATATTTAAAGAATCCTCTCTAAATACGTGTTTACCTGTGAAAAATCGAAGAGATTTAATGGTAATAAATCGTCCATAATAGCAATATCCTTGCTAAAACGATTTAATAATCGACCTTGAGAGACAACATTCGCAAATACAAATAATTCCTGTATATGTGTGTGCACTTACGTACCAACAGGATTATTATCAAAGAAATAAATTGGACAATGAATAATCCTTTGAAACATTCTAAAAACAGGAAAAAATACATAGACACAATTATTATACGACATTTTAGGATTTTAATTTCTCTTCCCGATTGATTATTACTTTACCGTCATCGAGCGTCAATCCGAACTCCTTCTGACAGAACCTTTTTTGGGATTCTGTCCATTTGATCGAACCTTCCTGAAAGTTCTGTCGTTCAAAAATGTTCGATGAAAAACCTTCACAGCGGAACATTCAGCACGGGCCCTTTTTTTGGAAATTCTTTTTAACATTTCAATAACAGATCCTGCTATGAAGGTTTTTCATCGAACTTTTTGAACGACAGAATCTTCATAAGGGTTCGATCAGAAGGACAGAATCCCAAAAAAGATTCTGTCTGAAGGGGTTCGAGCTGACGCCCAATGCCGAAACTTTTTATGAATTCAGGTATTTTTCTTCAGCAAAAAGTGACTGAACTTACTCCTTTTTTTAGAGAGTACAGCAGATAGAATACATTCGGTCGTTGATTGTAAGTTAAATCCCTTTCTTAACGCTCTTCAGTCATTAGTTTTCTTGCATTTTGCCAAGGTTCTTTTTTATAAATAGACTGAAAAACCTTACTTCAATCAGTACTTTTTATGTGAAGGTAGAAAGTGTTTGCATGCTACTTTCAAAAGTCAAAAAATTCTACAGCGAACATTTAATGAATTATAAAATATATCACACTCTTCTAGGTCTGCACAGAAATCTTGATCCAAGGTCAAAGCGACTGGTCGGATCTGTCACGAATTAACTGAATTCGGTTTGATCCAACTGTAGAAAGCTTTAACCTGATATAACGAAAATGATGTAATAATGTCTAGAGTATCGTAAAATAAATACACGGACTTTTGTAGAATTTTAGAAACGTCTTTCGGTCTTTATTCTACAAAAGTTTCTAAAATTTTCTTAAAGAAAATAAAGAAAATAGAAATTTATCGAATTTCTTTTGTCTCCTTCTCCACAGAAATTCGAATTTTCCGTAAAATTTGCGATATAAAGTTATGCATATGCTTAGATAGCCCTTGATGTAAACTTTCAGAATCCATCCTAAAAAAACATATATCTATGGTTATACTGAAGTTTTCTAGATTTCAAAGCTAAAAACCCTCCTTAAATGCACGACACTTTTTATTCATATATGAATAAAAATTGTCCTGATTTCCCCCCCTTTTCCTTACACAAGCTTCTTGACGTACTACTTCATTCAGTGTTTCTGAATTATCTTGGCGTCCATAGCTCTGGTAGTTGGGAAATTAACATCAGATACTCAGTAAACGATGAAGAACAAAACGTATTACTCAGATTTTCCATAAACTCACTTTTATTTTTTTTCCCTAATTGTACAACGAAAATACGATTGGCTCATATACTTCAAGCTAGAAATCTCGAGTTGGTTTTATTTCAAACTAGATACTTAACTACGTGAGCTGATCGAACTAGAATTTTTAATTAGATCTTTTTGTTTTCTAGAGATCAACAACCTCAAAAACGCTAAAAATCATCAGTCTATGAGGAATTCTTTGTTCTTTCGATTAAAAAACAGAAGTCTCTCTACGATGTACCATTATTGAAAAAAGCGCCGTACACAGAGCATGTCTGGACAAAAGTATGTTCTGAGAAAAAAAGAAAAGCAGAGGTTATGATGCTCTTTGAAAAATTCTTATAACTTTTGACTGGAGTGTCGCAGAGGGCCCAACAACAGCTCATTTGAAGACAAATGTTTACCTAACATTTTCGGATAATAAAATCACAGAATATTGTCGAAATTTGAGGAGAATTTTGACAATTTTCAAACGTGTGGTCTTTTAGACGTTTTAGAAAACTTTTTCAAAACCCCTCAGAAACCATAGATACACAATATTTTAGGATGGATTCTGAAACTAGACTCCAACGGCTGTCTAAGCATATGCATAACTTTATATCGCAACTTTTACAGAAAATTCAAATCTCTGATGAAGGGTACATCTTGAGCTGCTCTATCGATTGGTTAGAAAATCGAGGTTTCAAACCGAAAAGTAAAAACTTTATTTAAATTTTACAAAATGGGTATAAAGGGTAAAAACAAATTTTAAAAATTTTTCTAGAAAACTACAAGTCTGTACACCTCCAAACTCTTTCCATATGTATTTTGAAGTGTCCTCTGCAATCTGAGAAAGATAGAACCAAATCTAAATGGAGAGACTACCTCTTAATGTAGTTTGGAAAATGATGACTTAATCAAAGTGAACGCTTTCTCTTTCTTCTTGCTATCAATGTGATTAAGTCCGCCAATACCACCGAAATTATTTCGGTGAAGGGGGACGCCCCGATACCTCGGAGGCAGGGAGGGACAAAGTCAATTTCGGAGTAAATTTTTATGCTTTTAAAAATTGGAGTAAAAATAAAAAAACAAAGATAAATATGCTAAGCAGTTTTCTTCTAAAGCAAACAGTAAATATCTTACTTTTGAAACGAGAGTAAATTCCTAACTACGAAACTGAGAATAAGCCTTTTGCTCTCAGAATGGGAATAAATGTCTTACTCCAAAATCGAGAGTAGACGTCTTACTCTGAAAATGGGAATAAGCGCCTTACTTCGAAACTGAGAGTAAGCCTTTTATACTCTAAAAATGAGAATAATTGACTTACTCTGAAAATACTAGTAGGCGCGTTACNTAGGATATTCTCGTAAGTCAAAGGGCTAATTTTCGGAGTAAGAAAATCCTAATTTCGGAGTAAATTTTTTCAAAAAGCAGGGGGGGGGTGAGGGTTCTGCCACCCTTCCCTCCCTCCCTTTATCGGGGCGCCCCTATTTCGGTGGAATAGCGCGAAAGATAAGCTGATTTACACTTGTTTTTGGACGCTAATATGCACACGCAAACGAACGAACAAAAGAGCCAAGCGCAAGAAAAAATGCCCGCCTGGATGTGAAGGTGGCGGAAATATTTTCTCTATATTGCTAACACGGATATCAAAATTTCAATGATCATCCTACTTCAAAACTAGCGGTCAAAATGATGAATAACGAGGAATTCTCAATAGCTGACTATCATTATTCCGTAAAAAATTCATGAACTCCGTCATTTCCAACGTTTATCATTATCTTCATCTTTTTTTTTTTTTTTATTTTAAAGTTAAAGTGAGAAATTTAATTTAGTTATACATTAAAAATATTGTTTTG